TGAGCCACCGTGTCCGGCCTACAGAGAACTCTTAAAACTCAATAAGAAACTGAACAATCTGATTAAAAAATGGACAAAAGGAAATTACTGTCACATCATGCCTGTTTTTCAGAGTGGTTGTGCTAAATTTCATTCTCACCACCTAGGTGTGAAAGTGGAAGGCATATCACAATATGTTTTCCTCAGTTCTCACAGTCTTGCAAGACGTGGCCCATGGACATGGACATGAACATGGAGATGGTAAAATGGAACTTCCAGATGATAAACAATGGAAGATAGAAGAGCCACCAGTAAAAACCGTCTAGAAGAAGCTGGCTGCAGGGGGGCTTTGGGGTTTATTGGGCTGCAGTGAAGCTTGGAGATATGTGGGTGGCTTTGCAGAAATGTTTCCTTTGTTGGTGCATTATTACAAAGACTGAAATGGGAATTGGCTGCATTTGTGGTAGCTGTAGGAGCTGAATATTACCTGGAGTCCCAGAATAAAGATAAGAAGCATCACTGAAGATAATACTGGGAAGTGTCATAGTGGTTTCTTAACTCTCTAAGATTTCCTTGCTATAGCCTACTCACCTGGTTTGTGCCTTAAAGAATATTAGTAAGATATAATAAAGTAAAATAAATACATATATGCCCCCCAAAATGAACAAAAGACACCTCAAGGAAGAGATAGTGATGACAAATAAGCATATGAAAAGATGCTCTACCTCCTGTGTCATTAGGGAAATGCAAAGTGAAACAAGTATGAGATAACCACTATATACGTATTAGAATGGCCAAAATCCAGAACACTAACAGTACCAAGTGCTGATGAAGATATGGAGCAACAAGAACTCTCATTCATTGCTGATGGGAATGCAAAATGGTACGGCCACTTTGGAAGATGGTTTGGCAGTTCCTTATAAGACTACACAAACTCTTACATTTTATAATCCAGCAGTCCTGCTCCTTGATATTTACCCAAATGAGTTGTAAACTTATGTTCATACAAAAATGTGTACACAGATTTTTATAGCCACTTTATTCATTGCCAAAACTTGGAAGGAACCAAGATGTCCTTCACTAGGTGGATGGATAAACAAACTGTAATACACCCAGACAATGAAATATTATGCAGTGCTAAGAAGAAATGAGCTATCAAGCCATAAAAAGACATGGAAGAACCTTAAATACATATTACTAAATGAAAGAAACCAACCTGGAAAGGCTATGTATGTATGATTCCAACTATATGACATTTTGGGAAAGGCAAAACTATAGAGACAGTAAAAAGATCAGTGGTTTGCAGAGGTTGGAGGGAGGTGAGTTTGAATAGGTAAAACTATTCTATATGATACTATAACGGTAGGTACATGTCATACGGTTGTCAAAACTTATAGAATGTACAAAAGGAGTAACCCTAATTTAAACAAACTATGGTTTTGGATGATGATGATGTGTCAGCAAATCATGTTTGTTACATGGTTTGTAACAAACATACCACTTAGGTGTGAGATTTTGATGCGGGGAGGCTGTCTGGGGGAAGGGGCGGGCGTATATGGGAACTCTGTACTTTTTTCTTTTTTTTTCCTTTCTATGGAGAACGAGGTCTCTCTATATTGCCCAGGGAGGTCTTGAACTCCTGGGCTCGAGCGATCCTCCTGCCTCTGCCTCCCTAATTGCTGGGATTACAGGCGTGAGCCACTGTGCCGAGCAAGGGAATGCTGTACTTTATGCTCAGTTTCGCTGTGAACCTAAAACTGCTCTAAAAAATAAAGTCTATTTACAGGGGTGAAAAAACAATAAAAAATCTACTTTCCCTGGAGTTCTGTCTCAGCAATGATTATTTCCAGCCTTCTAATTGTTTAAGCCAGAAACCCCGAGTCATCCTTGATTCTTTACTTTCTCTTAACACCTTGTATCCAGTTGGTCATAAATCTAGCAGATGCTACATTCAGATAACATGTGGAATCGATTTTCCCTATTTTTTACTTTTACTACCCTGTCCAAGCCAGTTAACTTTTACTTAGATTATTATAGAAGACACTTAACTGATCTCCCTACTTACAGAGTCTCGCTCTGTTTCCCAGGCTGGAGTGCAGTGGCGTAATCTCGGTTTACAGCCACCTCTGTCTCCTGGGTTCAAGTGATTCTCTTGCTTCATCCTCCCAAGAAGCTGGGATTACAGCCGTGCACCCCCACGCCTGGCTAATTTTTGTATTTTTAGTAGAGATGGGGTTTTGCCATGTTGGCCAGGCTGGTCTTGAACTCCTGACCTCAAGTGATCCGCCCACTTTGGCCTCCCAAAATGCTGGGATTACAGGCAAGAGCCACTCTGCCCAGCTGGCTCCTCGGTTTTATATTTGAATTTTATAATTAATTATAGTTAACCTTTTTATTTCAAAATAACCCAGTTTTCCCCAGTGGTAACATTTTGTAGAACTATAGTGTAATACCACAACCAATACAATGTCAGCCAACATTGACATTGATATAACTCATGATCTTCAGGTACAACCTAAGATCATCACCTCATGATGTTCAGATTTCTTCAGTTTTACTTGTGTTTGTGTGTGTGTATGTGTCTGTGTGTGTGTATTCAGTTCCTCACAGTTTGTTTTTTGTTTTGTTTTTTTTTTTTTTTTTGAGACAGAGTCTCACTCTGTTGCCCAGGCTGGAGCGCAGTGGCCGGATCTCAGCTCACTGCAAGCTCCGCCTCCTGGGTTTACGCCATTCTCCTGCCTCAGCCTCCCGAGTAGCTGGAACTACAGGCGCCCACCACCTCGCCCCGCAACCTCGCCCGGCTAGTTTTCTGTATTTTTTTTAGTAGAGACGGGGTTTCACCGTGTTAGCCAGGATCGTCTGGATCTCCTGACCTCGTGATCCGCCCGTCTCGGCCTCCCAAAGTGCTGGGATTACAGGCTTGAGCCACTGCACCCGGCTCTTCACAGTTTTATTGGATAAGGGCTCATGTATCCACCACTACAGTCAAGATACGTAACAGTTCATCAACACAAGAATGCCTCATGTTGCCCTTTTATAGACACACCCACTTCCTTCCTGCAGCTGCTGGACCCATGCAACAACTAACCTGTTCTCCATTTCTTTAATTTTGTCATTTCAATAATGTCATTTAGGCCGGGCGCAGTGGCTCACGCCTGTAATCCCAGCACTTTGGGAGGCCGAGGCGGGCGGATCACGAGGTCAGGAAATCGAGACCATCCTGGCTAACCCGGTGAAACCCCGTCTCTACTAAAAATGCAAAAAATTAGCCGGGCGTGGCGGCGGGTGCCTGTAGTCCCAGCTACTCGGGAGGCTGAGGCAGGAGAATGGCGTGAACCCGGGAGGCGGAGCTTGCAGTGAGCCCAGATCACGCCGCCGCTGTATTGCACTCCAGCCTGGGCGACTGAGCGAGACTCCCTCTCAAAAAAAAAAAAAAAAAAAAGAAAGAAAAAGAAAATGTCATTTAAACGCGGCCAGGCGCAGTGGCTCAATGCCTGTAATCCCGGCACTTTGGGAGGCCGAGGTGGGCGGATCACCTGAGGTCAGGAGTTTGAGACCAGCCTGGCCAACATGGTGAAACTACTAAGAATACAAAAATTAGCTGGTCATGATGGTGTGCGCCTGTAATCCCAGGTACGTGGGAGACTGAGGCACGGGAATCACTTGAACGGGGAGGCAGTTTGCAGTGAACTGAGATTGCGCCACTGGACGCCAGTCTGGGCGACAGAGCGAGACTCTCAAAAAAAAAAAAAAAAAAAGGAAAAAAGCCGGGCGCAGTGGCTCACGCCTGTAATCCCAGCACTTTGGGAGGCCGAGGCGGGTGGATCACGAGGTCAGGAGATCGAGACCATCCTGGCTAACATGGTGAAACCCGTCTCTACTAAAAGTGCAAAAAATTAGCTGGGTGTGATGGCGGGCGCCTGTAGTCCCAGCTACTCGGGAGGCTGAGGGAGGAGAATGGCATAAACCCGGGAGGCGGAGCTTGCAGTGAGCTGAGATCGCGCCACCGCACTCTAGCCTGGGCGACGGTGCGAGACAACGTCTCAAGGAAAAAAAAGAAAGGAAAAAAAGAACGTTATATAAATGGAATTACACAGTATATAACATTTTGGGATAGTTTTGACTTTGTTTTTTCACTCAACACAAATACCTTGTGGCGAATCCAGGTTGTTGTGTGGCAGTATTCATTTATTTTTATTGCTAAGTAGTAGTACATGGTATGGATGTACCGAAATTTGTTTAACCATTCACTCATTGAAGGATATCTGATTTGTTTCTAGTTTTGGGCTATTATGAATTAGGCTTCTGTGAGTATTTATATACAGATTTTGAACATGTTTTTATTGCCAAGACTACAATTGCTGGGTCAAATGGTAAGTCTGTGGTTTGCAATTTACTTTTAAAATTACCGGATAAAAACCTTCTACCGGCCGAGCACGCGCCTGTAATCCCAGCACCTTGAGAGGCTGAGGTGGGTGGATCACCTGAGGTCAGGAGTTCAAGACCAGCCTGGCCAACATGTTAAAACCCTGTGTCTACTAAAAATACAAAAATTAGCCGGATGTGGTGGCACACGCCTGTAACCCCAGCTACTTGGGAGGCTGAGGCAGGAGAATTGTTTGAATCTGGGAGACGGAGGTAGAAGCGGGCCAAGATGGTGCCACTGCACTTCAGCCTGGGAGATAGAGCGAGACTCCATTTCAAAGAAAAAAAAAAAAAAGGTTTTTTTGTTTTGTTTTGTTTTGTTTTTTTTTTGGTGAAAAGCATCATTTTACAGTTCTTGTAAAGCTGTCTGTCTCCTAGAACCTAGTGTCTCTGTAGGTAGTTTGCATTGCATTAAGAATTCTGTATGACAGCTGGCAGAAATCCAACACCTGAATTATCACAGGGTACTTTCCTTTCCAATCAAAAAGTACACTTGGGCTTTCTAAGTATTAGACCTGGTATTTTTCTTTTTTGGTATTTTATCTTTAGTTTTGATGTTGTAGTAAATGTTTGCCTTTTATTTTCTCTTTTTACAGCGGCTATGTGACTATGTTTGTGACCTCCTCTTAGAAGAGTCAAATGTTCAGCCAGTATCAACACCAGTAACAGTGTGTGGAGATATACATGGACAGGTAAAATTTCATGAGCAGATTTTTAAGTTTTGTACTGTGCATGATCCACGTGTGTTTTCACATGTGCTACAAAATTAACAACAACATCAACAAACACAACTGGTGGTAAGCTAAGTTGCCTCAGTCTCTGTGACACTAATGATTCCTGGTTTACATTTTTGGTGAATAAAAGCAGTGGTCAAATTAGTTATGGAGTTTGTTGATATTACATTTGTGAAGTGAATAATGCAGCATTAGTTTTCTGTGGAATGGTGGGAGTGGGTAGAAAATAAAAAGTACAAACATATACTGCTCATAGTAACTATGATTAACAGGAGATGTTTTGGTGTTAGGCACTTTTTTCATTCAGTTAATTTCTGTTCTGCTCTCATATATTGTTGAAAATGTATCATTTCTTTAGTGGGAATGAGAATAGCAAAGGTACAGAAAAATAAAATTGCTGGTCCATGATGTCACAGCAAATCACTGATGAATGAACTAGAAAATATTTAGTTAAATTTCTCATCTGCTGGGTGTTTGTTTGTAAGAATTTCAAAGCAGTGCCTGGTGTGGTGGCTCATGCCTGTAATCCCAGCACTTTGGGTAGCTGAGGCTGCTGGGTCGCAAGGTCAGGAGTTTGAGACCAGCCTCACCAATATGGTGAAACCCTGTCTCTACTGAAAATACAAAAAAATTCGCTGGGCATGGTGGCACGTGCCTGTAATCCTAGCTACTTGGGGCTGAGGCAGTAGAATCGCTTGAATCTGAGAGGTGAAGGTTGCAGTGAGCCAAGACCGCACCACTGCACTCCAGCCTGGGCAACAGAGTAAGACTCTGTCAAAAAAAAAAATTTTTTTTTCAAAGCATTAACAGGAGGGGCATACCTCATATTTAGATTCTGTTGTCAGTGTTTAGCCTCATGTATATCTGTAGAATTTTTTCACTGGGAAATGAAAGCTGAACAGATTACTCATAGAGTGCTATATGCATACACTATAGTTGGGGCTGTAAGACTTAATAATACATTGCAAAACAGTGTAGTCTTTAAAGGATGCCAACAGGACTTACGGTAGCCTGTGCAATTTCCCTGCCTTAAATATGACTGTGTAAATGAGCAGAAATGTGTGTAAATTGGCTCTGATTAGGGACTGCTCCACGAGCAAAGTCTTGTTTTGGCTACTTACAGGCTGATTTTTTGGTTTTTCAAGGTGTTTTCTGCATCAGTTGAGATTAAAAAAAAATCTGACACTTGCATGTCATCACCTCCTAGATAGAGGTCCCATTATGTCATCTTTAATCTGTTAAAATTACAGTTTTTTAGAGTAGACTTTAGGAATTGATTTCCTAAAATTTCCGTGTAACTTCTCTCTAAAAATAAATATTTGTATTTTGCTAACATAAAGGATATTAATATAAGCAGTGTTTTAACACATTCCTGAAAACTGGAATAAACCAAGTCATGTTTTCCCTTAGTTATAGTGTTAAAACTGAGGGGTTACCTGTGTTATCAAGGACTTTTTAAGATGTGAATTACAGCCATGATCAAAGGTCAGAAAGTTAGAGACCAACCTCGAGCTACTAAAATTAGAAGCATAAAATTGAACTTTTGTATTATATATACCTTCAGTCAAATGTACAGTTATTGCTAACATTTATTTTGTGTTTTGAGGTTAACAAAGTACTTTTTCACATATTCTGCATCAGTTTTTTCCCAAGAGTCCTATGAGATAGTATTATTTTGTAGACAATGAAAGGGAGACTGAAAGATTGAAGAAATAGCCCAAACTCACACACAGCCACTGCAGGGCAGATTGAGGTTTGAAACTAATTTGGGTTTCTGTTGTACATGTTATTTTAAGACCACCACCAAACTGTTAACAATTGTTTATGTTGTATATGTTCCTTAAAAACAATTGCACCAGGCGCTGTGGCTCACGCCTGTAATCCCAGCACTTTGGGAGGCCGAGGCGGGCAGATCACAAGGTCAGGAGTTTGAGACCAGCCTGGCCAACATGGTAAAACCCCGTCTCTACTAAAAATACAAAAATTAGCCAGGTGTGATGGTGCATGCCTGTAATCCCAGCTACTCGGGAGACTGAGGCAGGAGAATCGCTAGAGACTGGGAGGCGGAGGTTGCAGTGAGCCGAGATCGTGCCATTGCACTCCAGCCTGGGCAAGAAAGTAAGACTCCGTCTCAAAAAAAAAAAAAAAAAAAAAAAAATAGGCGGGACGTGGTGGCTCATGTTTGTAATCCCAGCACTTTGGGAGGCTGAGGTGGGTAGATCACGAGGTCAAGAGATTGAGACCATCCTGGCAAACATGGTGAAACCCCATCTCTACTAAAAATACAGAAATTAACCAGGTGTGGTGGTGGGTACCTGTAATCGCAGCTACTTGGGAGGCTGAGGCAGGAGAATTGCTTGAACCTGGGAGGCAGAGGTTGTGGTGAGCCGAGATTGCACCATTGCACTCCAGCCTGGGCAATAAGAGTTGTTGAAACTCCGTCTCAAAAAAACAAAAAACAAAAACACACACAAAAAATGATTACTAATCAGAAACATGGGATTTGAGCCTCTAAATAGCTATTGACTGATTAAATACAATGTAAAATATATCCTTTGGGACTTATCTTCCTCTGGGGCCTGTTCTGGAATTGCAGGATTGGGTTTTGGGTATGAATAAACATGTTAGCGAGCATGTTGTGCTGAGAAGCATTGAAGCTGTGTAATATAGTGAGGAGTTACAGATTTCAGTGTCAGATACAACTTGGTTTAAATCTTGGCTTGGCTATATATTAGCTATTTAAGAAGCCATTTCAGCTAGCTCACAAATTTGTTAAGTGTGGCCTCTGGACCCTTGGGTCTCTAAGGAGGTACAGAGGCAATGGAGGGTTAAATTGCTCATGCCTTAGCATGAATCAAGGGGAAAACACTAGAATAAGCTGATTATCATTGAGTTCTTCACCAACATGCCTGCATAGTAAAATAAAATGCCAGTTTCACTTAACTCTCAATCCTTTAGAATATACATTATTTAAAAATTCTGGCTGGGCATGATGGCTCATGCCTATAATCCCAGCACTTTGGAAGCCTAAGGTGGGAGGATCGCTTGAAGCCATGGGTTCTAGACCAGCCTGGGCAACCCAAGTGAGACCCCCCCCATCTCAAACTCCTGACCTCAGGTGATCCGCCTGCCTCAGCCTCCCAAAGTGCTGGGATTACAGGTGTGAGGCACTGCATCCAGCCTGAGACTCCCCACGTCTAAAAAAACAAATTTTTTTTTTTTTTTTTTTTTTTTTTTTTTTTTTTTTTTGAGACAGAGTTTTGCTCTTGTCCAGGCTGGAGTGCAATGGCACAATCTTGGCTCACTGCAACCTGCAACCTCTGCCTCCCAGATTCAAGTAATTCTCCTGCCTCCGCCTCCTGAGTAGCTGAGATTACAGGAATACGCCACCATGCCTGGCTAATTTTTTTGTAGTTTTAGTTGAGATGGGGTTTCTCCATGTTGCCCAGGTTGTTCTTGAACCCCTGACCTCATGTGATCCTCCTGTCTTGGCCTCCCAAAGTGCTGGGACTACAGGCATGAGCCACCTTGCCCAGCCTTTCTTTCTTTCTTTTGAGGGGGGACAAGGTCTCGCTATGTCACCCAGGCTGGAGTGCAGTGGTGTGATCTCAACTCAGTGCAGCCTCTGCCTTCCGGGTTCAAGTGATTCTTGTGCCTCATCATTCTGAGTAGCTGAGACTACAGGTGTGCACCACCATGCCTGGCTAATTTTTGTATTTTTAGTAGAGATGGGATTTTACCATGTTGGCCAGGTTGGTCTCGAACTCCTGGCATCTTGTGATCCACCCGCCTCAGCCTCCCAAAGTGCTAGGACTACAGGTATGAGCCACTGCACCTGGCTCCTATCTCTTTAAAAAAAAAAAAAAAAAATTAGCCAGGGTTGGTGGTCTGAATCTGTAAGTCCTAGCCACTCAAGAGGCTAAGGTGGTGGGAGCATTGCTTGAGCCCAGGAGTTTGAGGCTGCAGTCAGCTATTATTGTGCCACTGCACTCCAGCCTGGGCAACAGAGTGAGACCCCATCTAAAAAGAAAAAAAAAAAGTCTGTGTGATGAAATGGGAAGTATGCGTAAAGCATATCTGCTGCATGCTGAAGAAAGATGGTTTACTCAAGGAAAAGTACTTGTGGGTTGGTCACGGTGGCTCACACCTGTAATCCCAGCACTTTGGAAGGCCAAGATGGGCAGATCACCTGAGGTCAAGAGTTCAAGATCAGCCTGGCCAACATAGCAAAACCCCATCTTTACTACAAAATACAAAAATTAGCCAAGTGTGGTGGCGGGTGCCCATAATCCCAGCTAGTCAGGGGCTAAGGCAGGGAAAATTGCTTGAACCCGGGAGGCGGATGTTGCAGTGAGCTGAGATAGCACCATTGCACTCCAGCCTGGGTGACAGAGTGAGACTCTGTCTCAAAAAAAAAAAAAAAAAAAAAAAAACCTAAAGAAAAGGAAAGAAAAGTACTTGTGAAATTCTTTGAGTCATGAGTTAAAATAACTGCTTTTTTATGGAACACTATTTTTACTTGAGAATGACTGACAAACTGTGATTATTTAGACTTGGGTATTTGGCAACTATATTTGCAAAAGTGAAGGAAGTGAGCCAGTCACTTCAAGAGAACAATTGACAGTATTTGTTGCTGATGACGAAAATTGAATTTACTAATGAAAAATAGGAATTTTGGAAAATCTGAGTACCACTATGAGGCTAACAGTTTCCGATACTTTCCTGAGATGAGATGAGAAGTGATATTAACAAATATGGTTTTTTGATGATATAGAATGCAATGTCATTTTCATTTTTCAAATTACTAGTTTACCATTTACTCAAAGTGTAAGATAACAAATGTAAGAGAGTATGAAAGATCACTGTTATAGGCCGGGTGCGGTGACTAACACCTGTAATCCCAGCACTTTGAGAGGCCGTGGCAAGCAGATCGCTTGAGCCCAGGAGTTTGAGACCAG